TCAAAACAATCTTAGGAATCAAGCAGGAAACAAGTTTCCAGTGTGGATAGGAAATTGCTGGCTGGGTCTTCTGAGCACCAGTGCTGAAACCACAAAGGCACTGCTGCTTTGAGGGACAGGAGGCTGTGGGAGGTGGGCAGGAGAATGGAGCAGATCTGATTCCAAGGTGCCAGAGCAGGTCAAAGGGCTGAGAAGCCCAGAAATGTGAGCAGAAACATTTTGAACTTGCACTCCCATTCCAGAACATGAGGAGGGAGCTTAATGTTTTGAAGGAAGTGGGAGATGAAGGTCCCTCTGGGCCTGCTAACCATACTGAGCTGAGCCCTTTGGGTGCCTGGGAGGAGAAAACCATCCCTGGTTGGCCCAGGTTGGCTGAGATGTGTGTGTCTGCCTCCTCTCCCTCCAGGCATGCCGCTGATGTACTGGTTCTCCCGCAGAATGACCCTCTGGGGAAGCATTTCCTTCAACCTGGCTGTCTTCATCAACATAATCATTGCTTTCTTCTACCCCTATGTTGAAGCCACTTCCATGGGTAAGTGCCCCAGCATCATCTGCTCCTTGAGGTGGAAGAAAGAGGGGACCTTCATGTGCAGGATAAGTGGTCCCTTTGCCTGTACTCCCCTCACCTTTGGTCTTTTGTCTCCCCAAGTCCTTTCTGCTGGTCAAAGGGAGGGATGGAGGCAGGACTTCAGCTGCCAGCCCTCCCACTGCTTCCTTCTTAGGGAATTCTCTTCTCCCTGTGCTGCACTTTCCCTGTTTGTAAAGTGGGGGGAAGCAATGACAGGGTATGTACCTGCTGACAGGGAAAGCCACCACCACCTGCAGTGGTTTGGGGATCTCAGCTAGAAGATGTTAGAAAAACGTAGCAGATAGCAGGTTCTTAGTCAACACTGGTCTTTGCAGTCAAGCACCATTTCTCTCTTTCCTCTGAAAAGCTAGGGAAGGACTTGTTATAAGGGCTTGTAGTGAGAGGACAAGGGGTAACAGTTTTAAACTGAAATAAGTGAGATTTAGGTTAAAGATCAGGAGGAAATTCTTCTGTGTGAGGCTGGTGAGAGCCTGGCCCAGGTTGCCCAGGGAAGCTGCGGCTGCCCCATCCCTGGCAGTGTTGAAGGGCAGGTTGGATGGGGCTTGGAGCAGCCTGGGCTGGGGGGAGGTGTCCCTGCCCATGCAGGGGGGTTGGAACTGGATGATCTTTAAGGTCCTTTCCAACTCTAACCATTCTATGATTCTGATAATCAGCTCATCAGCTTTCCTGGGCAGCAGCACCTGTTGAATCCCGGTTCTGTTTCATTGCTGTGGGTCTTCTCTTCCCAGGAGTGCTGGATTCCCCACTGATCTCACTGCTCTTCTGGATTCTGATCTGCTTCTCCATCATGGCCCTGTTCACCAAGCGTTACGGTGTGCGGCCGCTGCTCGTGGCTCTGATCCTCAGGTCCATCTATTACCTGGGGATCGGGCTCACCCTGAACATCCTGGGAGCCCTCAATGTAAGTTCTCCACCTGCTGGAAAAAAAAAAATGACCCAGGATTCACCCAGCATTCTGCTATTCCCAAAGGGCAGCAAACCCCACTCCCTCCCGTTTCTGGTTGTTCCCCAGCTGACCAACAAGATTGTGTTTGTGGTGAGCTTCGTGGGCAATCGTGGGACCTTCATCCGGGGCTACAAGGCCATGATCATGGACGTGGAGTTTCTTTACCACGTTGGCTACATCGTGACGAGCGTCCTGGGCCTCTTTGTGCACGAACTCTTCTACAGCATCCTGGTACAATAAATGCAGATGTTTGGGGCACGGAGATGGCCTGTCTGCCCTGTTAGAAGGTTCCTGAGACACCTTCCAGGGGCTGATTGATAACAGCAGTGAGAAGAGTTTGCTGTGCTCTAATCTTGGTCTGCCTTCCGACAGGATCTATTACTGTCTCTCTCCTGGTCTTTTGCTCTCTCTCTCCTTTTCTAATCTTTGCTGTGTACTTTATCTGGGTCAGCTGGGAGACAACGTGAGCTGGTGGGGGCAGAGGTGCTGTGCATGTGTCCTATTCTTGGCTCTCCTGCTGAGCATAAGTCACTTCATTCTTCTCTACTTCCCTACAATGAGCTGGGAAACTTAAGTGCTTTATGTGAAAGTTAGTCAAGGTCTGCTGAACAACCCAAGATCTCAGGATAAAAGGGGGTGTAGGTAGGCCAGGCATGATCAAGAGAAGCACCCCATGGCATTTCTTTGCTCCTTGGTCCTTTTTTAGCTGTTTGACTTGATCTACCGTGAGGAGACCTTGTTTAATGTCATCAAGAGCGTGACGCGCAACGGCCGCTCCATCCTGCTGACAGCCCTGCTGGCCCTCATCCTCGTCTACCTCTTCTCCATCGTGGGCTTCCTGTTCCTGAAGGATGACTTCATCCTGGAGGTGGACCGGCTGCCAGAGACCAAAGCCAAAGGTTGTTCAGCCCTTGACCTGGGTGGCTGTGGTGTCTGGGGGGAGAGGGGCCAAGCAGGGAGTGGGTCCCTCCTGCAGCTGGGGAGCTGCTCCCTCCCTGCTGCAGAACCACACACGTGTCTCTCTGTGTGTGTGTGTATTGTGAGTTTTGGACCCTTGAGACAAGCTCCTGGTAGCTCTTGAGTTTGGGGTTGGCAGAGAAGACACCTGCCTGTGCTGCCAGAGCTGGGTTTGGGGGCCTGGAGGGGCTGCCAGGGGGGTGAGCAGCTACAGCTGAAGCTTGAGCACTGCAGGGGCCTTCCTGGGGCTTGAGCAGAAGGTTCCACACCTGGAAAAGCCTGGGGAAAAAATGCAAAGCAATTTTTCTTTCCAAGAAGCTTGAAAGCTACAAGAAGAGGCAGTTTCAAAGCAGCAGTGACAGCAGGGAAGAGCTTTCCCAAGGCCTGCTGAGGCTCTGACCAGCCTGTGGGCTCTTTTACTTGCAGATGACCCCTTGGGGATGCAAAGGAACATGGAGACCTTCATGGAATCATGCAGCGGGGACAAAATTAGCTGCTCTGCTGTGCCCACTGCCTTGGAAGGTAAGTGAGCTCCTTAGAAAGGTCAAGTCTGTTAGTGGCAGAGTAGCTTGGCTGCCTGGTTTGTTAGTGAGCTCAGATCAAAGTTCTACAGTAACTTTTCAAAGATGGGAAAAAGGAAGAACAACCCCTTTTCTGGCACATGTTGAAGCAAGAGGCCTGCAAATGTTGCACTGACCCTGGCATAACAAAAAAATGTAAAAATCATGTTGAAGTAGATTCAATTTAGTTATAAAGGAAGTGGGAGCTTCAGGAGGGCTCAGCCAAACACCTCCACAGCAGGAGGCAGCAGGAGGAGCTGCTGGTGGGGAAATCCACAAGGAGCAGCTGTTCCCAAGAGCTTTGCTGCTGCATCTCTGCAGCAACAGTCACCCCTGCAGCTCGGGATCCTTTGCAAGGACCTGGTGCCTCTGCCCTGTCCGTGCTCTGAGATTTTTTTATATTATTTCCCCCCCTGGTGCTGCAGAGGCAGAGGCTGACCAGTGGGAACGTGCCTGTGACACGCTGCTCATGTGCATTGTCACTGTCCTGAACCACGGCCTGAGGAACGGCGGGGGCGTGGGGGACATCCTGAGGAAGCCATCCAAGGATGTGAGTTTGGGCACCCCCTTCTGCTCAGTCCTGTCCTCCTACCTCCCTGAGAGTTGGGACACTTCCAGCTCTATCCCACACACTGGCCTTGGGTGCTTTCCTCCTCTCCCCCTCAGCCTATGGTCTGTGCCACAAGGCAGCAGGTTTGTAGGGGCTGGAGGAGAAGTGTCCAAGAGAGACACGTTGTCCCTTTAGCTCCAGGGTTCTTCAGCCTGGAGAAGAGAAGGCTCCAGGGAGACCTTAGAGCACCTTCCAGTGCCTGAAGGGGCTCCAGGAAAGCTGGGGAGGGGCGCGGGACAAGGGCAGGGAGGGAGAGGACAAGGGGATTAAAGGATTAAAACTGGAAGAGGGAAAATTAGGTGAGATACTAGGAAGAAGCCCTTTAGTGTGAGGGTGGTGAGAGCCTGGCCCAGGTTGCCCAGGGAAGCTGTGGCTGTCCCATCCCTGGCAGTGTTGAAGGGCAGGTTGGATGGGGCTTGGAGCAGCCTGGGCTGGTGGGAGGTGTCCCTGCCCATGCAGGGGGTTGGAACTGGATGATCTTTAAGGTCCTTTCCAACCCAAAGCATTCTATGATGATCTGTTACAGGAGTCCTTGTTTCCTGCTCGGGTTGTCTATGACCTCCTCTTCTTCTTCATTGTCATTATCATTGTCCTTAACCTCATCTTTGGGGTCATTATTGACACCTTCGCTGATCTGAGGAGCGAGAAGCAAAAGAAGGAGGAGATACTGAAGACCACCTGCTTCATATGTGGTGAGCACTGGGACCTCGGGGTGTAGGAACTTCCCCAGAGCTCTTCCTCTTTTCTAAGGTTGAGGGGAAGAAAGAAAAGTTCAGCTGGTTTCTGGTTTTCATTTGATTCACAGCAGAACTTAAACCTGTTCAGCCATGGGTCACTGCAGTGTGAGGCTTAAACAAGGACACAGACTGAGAGGGGAAATTGTCTATATTGTTCCTGTTAGTGGGGTGTTAAACCAAACCGTTGTAGAGTCCTTGTCACTGTGCATCTGTCACTGCTGAGACCATCACTTAGGAAAAAAGCACCATAGTACTAAGGAAATAAAATCCAGGCAAGGTTCTGGAAGGCTTTCAGCCACCAGAAGGCATCCAGTGGAAGGAACAAACCCAATAAAAATCAAGCTGCTTTTTTCTTAAGAGATCCACTGGGTC